TAAAAAAAAATCTCAATATGAAAAAAAATCTCAATGCAACGTGGAGATTTACGACACGGTGGTCCTGAATAATTGACCGTCAGAAAATCGGTAGTTTCTTTAAAGAGACGCAGGTTTCGCCGACCCCTGGGCCAAGCCAAACAAAGAGGGTGTAGTGTGGATGTGCCTTGACAAATCCATCTTGCGCAATATCCCCGGTAATTGCCCTGAGATGTTACGCGCGAGGCTTCACCAACACGCGAGCGCTGCGATTGCCGCCTCCTCGGTTGTCGGTCAGCCGTAATAAAATAAGCAAACAAATAAAAAAAAACCACAACGCAATCCGGGGAAAACCCAGAGCGGCATCCTGCCATGCGGGGCACCACGTTCTGCTGAAGAGGCAACAAGGAACGGGTAAACCCATGCCAGTTTTGTGGCAGCGAGTGGAGCGTCAAGGCACAATTTCGTGCTTCTGAATGGGAGCCACTAGTCTGGCAAATCGGAATTTTGAGTATTTATCGTGGTGAAATCTGATGAGCTATGAAGCTCTTTTTCACAAACAACCAATGCGAACAACGACATCGGAGCAAGATCGAGAAGAGGTCAGCAAATCGTTAAAATAAATACGCGTATTGAAATAAAATATTTAAAGACGCGTATTTAAATAAAATATGCGTCTTTTAATTAAATAAATACGCGTAATTCTTGTATTAATCCGTTAAAATAAATACGCTCAAATAAATCAGCTAAAATACATTGCTATAAATAAAGTGTGTAAGTAGAAATTTCACAATATTCCTGAATGAGCATGCACCAGCGGATAGGTAAACTGATTGTTTTCGAGTGTCGTCGGGGTCGCGTTGTCATGCCGGCAGCTTTGTTTAGTCGGCTGTCGGGTGGAGGAGGGTTGACGACGCACAATTTTACTCACGCGGCTGGATGTCGTGGTCGTGCGAAAACCCGCGCGTTAATTCAGGAGGCGTTTGTGGGGTTGACCTGCGAGCTGGCCAATTAGACGGCAGAGCACACGCAACGGATTGTTGTATCCATCCGTGCGGATGTCGTGAGCGAGTAGCAACCCTCGTATGCGTTTGCGAGTTTTATTTCGCCTTCTGAAATTGATCTCTTCGCGTGAATCCAAACTCTTATTTCATGGAACTGACCCGACCACATCGCAGTGACCACAGCACATCGCAGTGACCCCAGCACATCGCAGTGACCCAAGCACATCGCAGTGACCCCAGCACATCGCAGTGACCACAGCACATCGCAGTGACCCCAGCACATCGCAGTGGCCCCAGCACATCGCAGTGACCACAGCACATCGAGGCTGTACGGAGGCCAAGATTTCGGGGGGGATGAGAGCGGGCCGTGATAATGAGAGGGGAGGGAAGAGAGGGTGGAGAGAGGAGGAGCGAGCTAGTGCACGGAGCAGCGTGTGTTTTCACAGGGGGCGGGGGAGAGGGGTGGGATTCAGAGTGGGGGCGCCTGGGAGGGGCGTGCCACACAAGTCACGTGATTTACGGGAGGCTTGAGCTGGTTTATAAAAAATAATATTGATCTATACTGGAGGAATCCGATGAGCTATGAAGTTCTCTTTGCTCGCAGATGTCCAGTAGGGGCACGGGATCACGACGTTACGACAAACAATCAATAAAATCACCACGATAGATGTGTTCCTGGCAAGTTTTTGTGCGCTCATTGAAACGTTCTTGTTTGGGCGCATGGGTGCGATGCTACGACAAAAATGAGAGTTAAACAACCTTTACAAATCAAGTTCGATGAGGATGCAGACGAGAACAGTACACGGTGATTGTGAAAGAAAACCCATTGCATCGGCTACAGTGTAAGAATCGATTCAAATCGATGCGTTTTTGAGCATAATTATAACATGCAAGGCTGTGTCAATCCACTGCTAAATGAACGCCGTGTCGTGTCGTAAGGGTTGTTTGACCATACTTCACCACGCTGGTCAACGCGGGTCGGTGGAGGGGGTTGAAGGCAGGGGGTGGTTGGGTGGGTGGGTGGGCGAGGACCCAAGACTGGGTTTTGCCACTGACGTTAGCCGTGAGCGGGACTCGACCTCGGTCGGTCCTGTTCATAGCGCCAACGCAGCATTAAGCACCCAACAAGGTGTTAATTGTTGACACAACGGTAGTAATTGCGTCTCCATCTCGTCGGGTGTTGGATTCGAGCCTGCTTCAGTACTTGGATGAATCAGTACCTCCTCATTCGAAACCCAAAACATCGCTGCACCTCCCGGCGTCGACGTTCCTCCACGAAGACACCGGTGGAGCCATCAGCCCGCTCGCCCACCCACCCACAACATAAACAACAACAACCGCCATTCGCCACTAAGTGGCGGTGACGTCACCACGACGCTTGTGCCAGGCCATGTGCACCTTGAGGCCACGTGAAGTGTCGAACGCCCGCTGGCAGGAGGTCACGGGGCAGACCCAGGTGCCACGGGTCGACTGACTAAGATGACTGAGATGACTGGCTGACACCACTCGCTCACCCACTTGCTCGCCCACCCACTCGCTCGCCCACCCACACACCACTTACTCACCCACCCGCTCGCCCACCCACCCACCCAAACAACACCACTCACTCACCCACCTACACACCACTCACTCCCCCACCCGCTCGCCCACCCACGCACCACTCACTCACCCACCCGCTCACCCACCCACACACCACTCACTCACCCACTCGCTCGCCCGCTCGACCACCCACACACCATTCACTCACCCACCCACACACACCACTCACCCACCCGCTCGCCCACCCACCCACACACCACTCACTCACCCACCCACGCACCACTCACTCACTCACTCACCCACCCACCCACACACCATTCACTCACCCACCCACCCGCTCGCCCACCCACACACCACTCACTCACCCACCCACACACCACTCACTCACCCACCCGCTCGCCCACCCACCAACACACCACTCACTCAACCACCCACTCACTACTCACTCACCCACCCGCTCGCCCACCCACCCACACACCACTCACTTACCTACCCGCTCGCCCACCCACCCACACACCACTCACTCACCCACCCGCTCGCCCACCCACCCACACACCACTCACTCACCCCCTCACGCACCACTCACCCACCCGCTCGCCCACCCACCCACGCACCACTCACTCACCTACCCGCTCGCCCACCCACCCACACACCACTCACTCACCCACCCGCTCGCCCACTCACCCACACACCACTCACTCACCTACCCACGCACCACTCACTCACCCACCCACGCACCACTCACTCACCCACTCGCTCGCTCACCCACCTACCCACGCACCACCCGCTCACGCACCCGCTCACCCACCCGCTCACCCACCCGCTCACCCACCCGCTCACCCACCCGCTCACCCACCCGCTCACCCACCCGCTCACCCACCCGCTCACCCACTCAGCCACCCACCCACCCAGACCCACCCACTCACCCACTCACCGTGCAGCGGGAGGCCACGTGCAGCGGCAGCAGCGTAGCCACCACCACCGCCACCGCCCGGCAAAATCAAATACGCACAGCAATCGCTACACACGCATTAAGCTGATAACCACTGTGTAACAAACATTTATTTATTTTGTTCCTGGGTAGTAAGGGTTATTTTCTAATTGATTATGCCTCAAAAGTATAGAAAGTGTCTATTATTTCGCACAAACTTTGCTTTTGTGACCAGAACATTGATATTTTGAAATTTACCGATTGTCAATGAGAAAACGTGGTGTACATTTGTGTCATTCATTCACGTAAAGTCCTGGTCACAAAAGCAAAGTTTGCGGGGAATAATCGCCACTTTCCATACTTCTGAGGCATAAGCAATTAGAAAATAACACTTGTAACCCAAGAACAAAAACCGTGTTACACCGTGTAATCACGGACTTCCCGAGAGAGCTCAGGTGGGACCGCACGTTGGACGGAATCGTCACGCAAATCCAGGCGTACGCACGATTATTCTTCCTCGATTGTTCTCTCGAAATTATTTATTTGTAATTTGGTTTCCTCAATTCCAGGTGGCGTTGACTCATCCGTATGGCGGTGGAGGCGTGTGCGTTCAATCACTCAACTCGCGGAAACGTTCCAGGCGTTCATTACTTTTTCATACATATACAAAAAAATAGTTTAATTACTTCATACAAACTCTAGCCCCCCCCCCTCCTCGTCACACACACACACGAGGGTGTTGGTGACTCAGGAGGACTTCGCCGTCAGTCCTCCTGCAGTGACGTCAACCTGTGCGCGTGCGTCGGGTATTTTAATAATAATATAATTTTATATATATTTTTTGCGTTATCGTTATGGAAGGCGTTAGTGCACGCATTGGTGTAGCGAGTAATTTAAAAATAATAATAAAAAGGCAAGTCTGTGGGTAAATAAATAAACAATGCACTCCCCATTACATCGGCCACCGTCTCTATAAATACGGCAGGGCGAGTGGGAACGCCGGAGCGACGATTTCGAGATGCAGCGTGATCATTAGTCCGTGTTTGGGGATAATGATTTTAGCCTCATCGACTGATTGTTGATTGATTATTGCCGTAGCGTTGTTACAACGGAACGGGGTGGTAACTCGCAAAAAAAGCATTAATAGAGAGAGAGAGAGCGAGAGGCGGACGCACGGAGAGAAGGGAAATCGAGATACAGATTGAGAAGCGAGACGGGGAAGAGGTTCAAAGAACCGTAGCGGAGACGGAGAGATACGGAGTTAGGTGAGAGGCACAGACAGAGGGGACAGCGAGATCGAGAGGCGGGGAGAGAGACGAGAAAGAAAGAGAAGGAAGAAGGAGGAGGAGCGGAATAGTGGAGACCTAGACGGTGAAGAGAGGAGAGGCACGACGCAGTAGCGACTCTGTAGCGGAGAGGTGAGCGGAACCGAGAGAGAGAGAGGGGGGGGTGCTGGTGGTGAGAGAGAGAGGGGGGGTGCTGGTGGTGGTGTTAGAGAGGGGGGGTGCTGGTGGTAGTGAGAGAGAGAGGGGGAGGGGGGTGCTGGTGGTAGTGAGAGAGAGGGGGTGCTGGTGGTGGTGAGAGAGACCCGCGGAGGCGGGGAGAGACGGGAGAGAGGAGCCCCGAGGAACGGCGTCGCGGCCGGGAATCAAGCGCAGGGCGACAGAGCAAGAGAGAGAGAGAGAGGCGAGCGCAGTGGGTTTGGAGAGGATGCGCGTGCTGCTGATGGTTGCAGTCTTCACGGTCGTGTCCGCAGTGGGTCGAGGTTGGGCCAATCCCATCGCTGTGCAGGTGAGAAGACTCTCACGTGAGCGCGCACCCGCCACTGCAAAGACACAAAGCGATTCCCACCCGAGTAGCCTTGACGGACTTTTTTTTTTGCTCTTCGCGAGCAGCGCCTATGAATGTCGGCACGCCGCGCGAGGGGGTGCGTGGCCAACACCACGCCCGGCCGCCTTTGTCTTCCCAGTGCTGATGGTTTTTTTTTACGCCGCCGCGTTAGGTACTCGCTTTAGGCCGAGTCGACCTAGGGGGAGGCCCGTGATCGGTGTTGGTGGCCGTGAGCGGGAATCAAACTCGGGTCGCCCGGGTTCGTAGCGCATCGCTACACTTCCGCTCTGTTGACACACTGACACACACACATACACAGGAATATACACGCACGCACAAACATACACAGGAATACACACACAGAAATACACAAACATACACAGGAATACACACACACAAACACACAGAAATACACAAACACACAGAAATACACAAACACACAGGAATACACAAACACACACAGGAATACACACACACAAACACACACAGGAATACACACACACACAAACACACTCAGGAATACACACACACACACAAACACTCAGGAATACACACACACACAAACACACTCAGGAATACACACACACTCAGGAATACACACACAAACACACACAGGAATACACACACACACAAACACACACAGGAATACACACACACGCGCGCGCACAGACGCATCTAGTTTGGTCCAGGTAATGCGACCTCTCCACAGCTCACCTTCCACTTATCGTGCCATCGCCATCATGGACATATATACACGCGGGTGAGTGTAGGCGTACGCGTGTAGCGGGGAGCGGTGGTGCAGCGGTTAGCGCTACGCATGCGCTACGAACCCGGCGGCCCCGAGTTCGATCCCCGCTCACGGCCACCGACACCCGAGTGACGATTCTCCGAACCTGGTCCCGGACCTCCCCCTAGGTAGACTCGGCCTCAAAAGAGCATCTGGCGCGGTGCGTAGTAGACATCGCCACTCGAAAGACAAAGGCGGGCGGGCGTGATGCGTTCCACCATCCCCCTAGTGAGCCGTGCCGGCCCTTTGTGGGTGCCGTCTGTTGAAGGCAACGCGAGGAACGTCGTTCCGTGTGCCTGCACCTCCAAGCGTGTCTGTGTGGACGCCTTGTGCGCGTGTAACTTTAATGGGTGCTCGCTATAACAGCACTTGCCCCTCACCCCACTCAACCCCGAACGGGCTGTGAAGGCTACATGGGGGATCTTTACCTTGCGTACGTGTGCTGTCACACACACACACACAGGGACGTGCACTTGTTAATGATGTAATGTTGAACCGTATGGGTGGGCTAGGTGGTGGGGAGGGGGGGGTTTACCCGTGATAAGAATTCATTGCCGTGTGAACAAACCGCTGACTCGAGATGCAGGTGACATCACCCGTCAAACCATATCACTTCCTTTTTCACCCCTCGCACAAGTACCGCAGGTCACACGCACAACACAAAGAATCACCCCCCCCCCCCCCACCCCATATAACAACTACACAGATTGGTGTGACTCGGGGCAAGTGCTGGTTAGCGAGCACCTATTAAGGCAATGTCAGCACCAAGAGGGGAGCCTTTCAATTTCCGCGCCCGCCCCTCCCCCGCCCGCTGATTGTTTTAACGCAACGCACTCGCAGATCGTTATTTAAAGGGCGTCACGGTGGCTAGGAGATGTTAACTACCTCGCCTGGTATACAGGAGGTCGTGGATTAGATCCCGACCCTGACGCCTGCTGTATATTTGGAGTTTGCGTGTCTCTCTCATCATCCATCATCATCACGGTGGCTAGGAGATGTTAACTACCTCGCCTGATCTACAGGAGGTCGTAGGTTCGATCCCGAGCCTGACGCCTGCTGCTGTATATTTGGAGTTTTCGTCTTTCTCTCTCTTACCGTGGTCGCGTGGATTTTTATCCGGCTCCTCCTGCTTTTTCCTTCCACATTTAGAATCACGCGTTTAGATTGACTTGCCTGCCATTAATTACCACACCATGATACTTCACTTCGTTGAGATAATCGTTTGTGAAAGCCAGGTAGCTTCTGAAACAAGAGCCACCTTATCTGGCAAAAATAAAAATATATATTTTTTTAGTTTAATAGTTTCAAAAGGCTGAGTCGACCTAGTGGTGACCTGGCACATCCTCGGCCAACACTCATCGCAGCAGGATCCAATAGCGATGCAGAGTGCCACAACACCCCCCCCCCCATCCCCCCCCCCCCCCCCCCACTCGTAATTGTCTCTTGTTGAACTCATCCCTTGTGGTAACTCTACGATCTCTGATAGTGCTGTTGGTTGCTGATCGCTTGGGAGTTTTTGTAAGGGGGAGTCTTCTGGGCTGACCTCCGATTAACACGGTTGGCTACGTACGGCGCAAAAGAAGTTCAACATACGCACGTACATGGCATTGGTGCACAAATAACAACAACAAATCACGCAACACTCTAGTCAATAGCCCTCTGTGCGTGGCCTTAAACAAAAAAAACATAATTGGCGACGTTTCAGGCTATTGCCCTTCTTCAAAAGCACGGCCCTTATGTGCTACGAAGCAGGACCATTGCCTGAAATGTCACCGATTCTATTTGTTTTTTTTTTATTTCGTTCAATTGCATTTGGTCACCACCCACGGTTTTTTTTTAAAATCCACGAGACGAAACACTTCAATGTAACGTCGCCGTTTCACATAACTTTAGTTTAATTTTGTAGAAAAATGTGTTTTCTAGTCCCAATTCTAGTTAGTTATAAAGTATACGCAAGCGCCAAGTTACATAAAACACGTGTGATATTTGTAAAAAACCAAGATCTATACCGCATGTAGTATATACATCTACACGCGACTTTTACCGCTGCCTATAAATTCCGATGAAATGAATGAGCGTTGCGTCACTTGTGAAATCAAAGCGCTCGCTGTAACGATGCGGCGATAATGACGCTTCAATGAGTGGGGGGGGGTCAACGACCCTAAACTCTTAGCCCCGAGTTTGTTTATTAATTGCTGGTGGTGGTGATGGTGGTGATGGTGCTGGTGGTGATGGTCGTGGTTTTACCGAGGTAACTGCTCAAGGTTACACGGAGAGGGACTCCGGATTCTAGTTCCTGCCTGGCTTCACGGTCATTTCGTTTCCCGACGCTAAATATCAGAAGCATTTATAAATGCAGGAGGAATCCGATGAGCTATAAAGCTCTTCCCCTCCCACAGATGTCCAACAGGGGCACGGGGGCCAGAACAAAAACACAAAACAAACTCCGACAGTGGGACAAGTATAGGAAAGGTAAACAAATTACTTAAAAACATAAATACAAATTAAACTCAAAATGGTTTCGTTATCTTACCAGGTGAAGCCCCCGTCGAGGTATTAATTTATTTTTTGCAGAAGCGACCTGGCCACAAACGATAGCTCGACCAAAGTGACTTTTCGTCACGTGCGTGCTGATTTCATTGCGGCAAAATCATCCAAATGATCTTCGATTGCGCGACTCAAGATGTGCAGGGGAGGGTGGGTGAAAAAAATTCCACGCCACGAAAATTCCCAGTTTGTCTTATCATCACAATTAGTCTCATGATCACCACCACCACCACCACCCCTTCTCCCCCAAATATTCAAATATTCAGGAAGGTTTGGTGGTCAAATGTGCCAATTCACCTAACGGAGTTGTAGTTTTGCATAAAACGCGGAGAGCACCAGGAGAATAAACAACCGATATTTACGTACCGGCGGCTCCTTACGCACGCGCTTTGAAGCACTGCTCTCGTAAACGTCTGTGTGGTCCACCAACCTTTGCCTTTAAGGGCGCCTTGTTGTTACACTCGGAGCGCGCGCGCGTGTGTCGGTGTGTGCGTGTGTCGGTGTGTGCGTGTCGGTGTCTGCGTGTCGGTGTCTGCGTGTCGGTGTCTGCGTGTCGGTGTCTGCGTGTCGGTGTGTGCGTGGGGAGCGGTCGTGTAGCGGTTAGCGCGCTGCTGCGCTACAAACCTGGCGTCCCGAGTTCGATTATCGCTCAAGGCCAACATCAGTGACGATTATCTGAACCGGTCCTGGGCCTCTCCTAGGTCGATTCAGCCTCAAATGAGCACCTGGTGCGGTGCGTAAACATCGCCACTGGGGAGACAAAGGCGGTCGGGCGTTGTGCTGGCCACCCACCCCCCTCGTGTACCGTCCCGGCCTTGAGAAGTGCTCGCAAACAGCACTTGCGCCAAAAAGTCCACATTCGTGTTAGCGAGCGCCTATTAAGGCGAGAGTGCTAAAAAAAAACGACCCGCGGAAGCAGACCGCGTGTCGTCACCGAACTGCTTCGGAGTTCCTCTTCAAAGTGAAACTAAACTCAAAACTATAAACTAAGCTATTTGCATTTCAGCGGGTAAAGCCAACCGAGCTCTATAGCTCTCTTTCAGAAGCGAGCTGGCCACAAATGATAGCCCGACGACTACAGTGACTTATCATCACGTGGAAATGTACAAGAGCAGACAAATACTCTCGGCGCGTGATGTTCATTCTAAACGTAGAGGTGTAAAACCCTGGAGAAAAATCCACGCGACCACGGAGAGAGAGAGAGAGACACGCAACCTCCAATATACAGAAAGCGTCAGGGTAGGCATCGAACTCACGACCTCCTGCATACCAAGCGAGGGAATTACCATCTCGCACGATCCATCAACCATCATCGACAGCAAGAGGTGACACGCCACGTGTCTCCCCCCCCCCCCCCCCCCTTTCGCCTGCCCCCACAGATGCGCGCTCCACACGGACGCAGGCTCCACGCGCCCCGCCTCCGCTCCCCGCTCACCGGGACGTCGCTGCTGCCCGCCACCTCCGACGTGTGGGTTGGAACCCGGGGCCGGGCTGCCCGTGGGGTTCCGGCCGGGTGGGCGAGAGCCGGAGGCGTTTCAGCGGCCCCCGCCGCCGCCGCCGCGGCCGCCGCCGCCGGGGGCCCCGCTGGGAAATCTCCATCGAGCTTCAGAAACCGCTCCGATCGCGGCTTCTACAGGCAGCAGCAGCAGCAGCACCGTCACGGCTCGGCGCCTCTGACGAGGAGCAGGGGACACCTCAAGGACGGGTGCTTCGGCCTCAAGATTGACCGCATCGGGGCCATGTCCGGACTGGGTTGCAAGCGAGGCAAGAGCCACGGTGAGACACTCCGACGCATCCCTCGCCCGACGCGCCAGGCAAATTTTGGCATCTCGTCGAGGGGGGCATTTAAGCAGTCGTCACGCGAACTGCGGTGGTCCCCGTAGCAGCGGCAGCGGCTGCGGCAGCTTTTGGCTCGGCCACCGAGCAAAGACGGTGATACCGCGCATAGCGCGGCGCTTTCAAACGCGCTTCCGCGGCCGTCTGGAACGCATCTTCCTCCCGATATTTGGAAGCCACTGGAGCTAGGCCCTTTGTACATCTGTATTTTAAAAAAAAAACTAATTTCAATCTTGATTTGAAGCTTTCGTGGCTGCAGGAATCCATACTCTTTGGTTCTTTCGGTAAAGTCACGTAGGTATAAAATAAAATAAATCACGACGTTTCTGGCGCAACACAAGCGTCCATCATCAGGTGGGAAAGCACGGCCTGCTGCTAATTTCCTTAGAACTGCCGTGTGCGTTATAGTTCGTTGTCCTTCCCCCGCACCTCCGATTAGCACGGTTGGCTACGTACGGTGCGAAAGAAGTTCAACATGGATAGGGAATGCGCCTTGTTTGTGCGTAGCCAATCGTGCTAATCGGAGGTTTTGGAGGGAAGGACAATAAACTAAAAACACACACGATGCAGTTCGAAAGAAAGTAGTTTTGAAATCTGGATTTTTAAAGTGTCTGGGATATACCTCCACAAACCCCTCGCTCCATCTCATCATACCGCTGCACATGATGTCATTTAAGAAAAAAAGGTTTGCTGGCTGGCTGGTTGACTGCGACAGACAATCACACCCCAACAGGCCGTGTGGATTGCTCGTATATACGGTTACAGTACTGCATATAAACGACAAGACATATCTCCCGTGTAGGTTGGGGGTAAACGGTGCTGGCGAGCATCTATTAAGGCACGCACGGCACACGAGCGAGTGGCGTGGTCAGTACCACGCCCGGCAGCCTTTGTCTCCCCATTGCTGATATTTTACAAACCACCGCGCCAGTTGCTCTTGTAAGGGCTGAGTCGGTCTAGGGAGAAACGCAACAACGAAGGGTCGCTGGGTTGGTCGCTCTAAGCGCTAAATCCTTGCCTGTATGCATTCGTGCGTGCAAGCGTGCAACAAACCACTGTCTCTGTGCTCACGGTCACGGCAATAACAGTTTAAACACACACACACGACACACACACGACACACACACAACACTCACAATGCATAATGCGTCAGCTCGCACCAGATTGGAATCCTGTAAAGTCGAGTGCCGCGGGCTATGGCAACACGTATCGCCACGCGGGCAGACCTTGGTAATGACAGCGTGCGGTGGTGGAGGAGGAGGAGGAAGAGGAGCAGGCGCTCGGCAAAAGGAGAAAATAAAGATTCAAATTGCCGGGCAATAAGCGTTATGCTGATAGCCTTTGAGAAAAAGCCACTTTAAACATCATTCCTGCGCGTGTGTTATTACAGCGCCGGCACGCTCACGCAAGTAAAATATAAAAAATATATATTGATTTGAAGCTTTCGTGACCTGCAGGAATCCATACTCTTTGATTCTTTCGGTAAAGTCACGTAGGTATAAAATCAAATAAATCACTATTTAATAAATCACTATTTGATTTTATAGCTACGTGACTACCGAAAGAACCAAAGAGAATATAATATTAAAATATAAAATGGAAGAACAATCGCGCACACACGCGGGGATGTTCCCTGGCTCCCTATCGCTTTCGCAACAACAACATCGTCAACAACATACATACATGCACGCATACAATAATCAAGGGTTCTTTTTTTTTGGGGGGGGGGTGGTTAGATCGGGTCAGTGTGTCGTTAAACCCTCCACCACCCGACACAGCCAATTGGTAAGGTTTGTCACGCAAACAAAACGTGGCAATTCGTTACTAGTTCAGTGCAGCGATGTGTCGGAGCGTAAACCCCCACAGCATTTACAATTCGACCGAAGCAAAAATGAGGATTTCTACACAGCGCTGTAGCTCCCACCTGATGATGCTGGTTGTTCTAATTACCGGCGAAAATCACGGCACTCTCAATGCAAATGTTGTCGTGGGTTTACTCTCCGACACAGCGGTTAGCGCTGACCCAGTCACGAATTGGCACGTTTGTGTCGACGTGACACAGCCTTCCTCACTGGCCACGGGTCGGGCGGTGGTGGGGTTTATTAGCGACACACTTTAGACTTACGCGATCGAACCTCAAAAACTAACAACAACAACAAACAACAAAAACCCTCTCGCGGATAATATCGGTGGCGAAAGCACTGCTACTCACTGCCACGTGGTGAAACAACGCGTGCGTTACTCGAAAGTGTTTTGGTTTTGTTGTTAATATTTGCGGCGACCATCAGAAACCGTTTTTTTTTGTTTCACGATGGCATGGCGCGTTTGTGACGTCAACCGCATTGGCCGACCAAAGGATGTTATATATATTTTTAAACACTAAATCCATTTTCTATCGCCGAATTTTCCTTCTGTCGCCAAGTGGTTCGCGTTGTGTCAATTTGTTGCGCCCCAGGGGGTTTTCCTTTTTTTTTTCTTAACTCTGTGGGCAACGTCGCACGAAGCAACGCAACTTTGATAAACCCAAAGCTTCGTTAGTATTGGGTCATATTTACGTGACCCACCCCACCACCTCCCTCCCCCCATTGTGTATCAAACAACTCAAAGTTTATTGCCTGCAAACATCCTAAAATCAGAATCGGTATTTATGCCGGAGGAATCCGATGCCCTACAACGCCCTTGCGTTACAGATTTGACATCGATATAATAAATAGAATAATTAGATAAATTATCATTATTAGGACCTCCCTTGTCAGCATCAAAACATAACAATACCCTTTCTGGCAATCAAAACGGGAGGTGTTAAAACAGGAGGTGTTAATATGTTAAAACAGGAAGTGTTAAGATGTTAAAACAGGAGGTGTTAAGATGTTAAAACAGGAGGTGTTAAGATGTTAAAACAGGAGGTGTTAAGATGTTTAAACAGGAGGTGTTAAGATGTTAAAACAGGAGGTGTTAAGATGTTAAAACAGGAGATGTTAATATGTTAAAACAGGAGGTGTTAAGATGTTAAAACAGGAGGTGTTAAGATGTTTAAACACCAAACAGAAACCTTAGCAAGGAATCATGTCCGCATTAACCACATACATGCAAACTAAAAAAAAAAAACACATGATCTGATAGTATATGCTCTTCGCCTTTTGGAGTCCTTCTGGTCTAACACCGTTTGAGACAAGGATCTAAAGAAAGGTCTCTCTGGTGCGGACCAATCCGTTTCAAATACAATGCATCATCGTATACTACCGGAGTGTTTTTGTTTGCATGTTCATCACAAGAATTGTGGTTCATGTAGACACGATTCCTTGCAAAAGCTTTCCGTTTGGTGTTTCAACATCTTAACACCTCCCTGTTTTCATTGCCAGAAAGGGGCAAACCTATATTCTTATAAATTATAAAAATTATTAAGTTTCGGAAAGACGGAGAAGGACACCTTAGGGCAGTGTTCTTCACAAATGTTCAGATGGGGAGCCACTTTCGCCGATAAGACATCCTGTGCAGTGTGTGCGAGAACAGCCACACCATTTGAAACCATTGTGGGTTTGTGAGCAGCAAGACGACGACGATGATGATGATGATGGGGTGGTGGTGTTGATGATGGGGTGGTGGTGTTGATGATGGGGTGGTGGTGGTGTTGATGATGGGGTGGTGGTTTTGTTGATGATGGGGTGGTGGTGGTGTTGATGATGGGGTGGTGGTGGTGTTGATGATGGGGTGGTGGTGTTGATGATGGTGTGGTGGTGTTGATGACGGGGTGGTGGTGTTGATGACGGTGTGGTGGTGATGATGATGGGGTGGTGGTGATGATGATGGGGTGGTGGTGTTGATGATGATGGTGTGGTGGTGATGATGATGGGGTGGTGGTGTTGATGATGGTGTAGTGGTGATGATGATGGGGTGGTGGTGATGATGATGGGGTGGTGGTGTTGATGATGATGGTGTGGTGGTGTTGATGATGGGGTGGTGGTGATGATGATGATGGGGTGGTGGTGATGATGATGGGGTGGTGATGATGATGATGATGGGGTGGTGGTGTTGATGATGGGGTGGTGGTGTTGATGATGATGGTGTGGTGTCCGCTGTGTTCTCTCCCCGGCCCCGCGTGGCGACTGAAGGATGACGGAGTTGGTCGATGGCGCCTTCACGCGGCAACGGCACCGTGCTGCAGCTAAACGAACCACGTGCGACTCGTCCTCAGTACACTCACACTCAGTGTACACTGTGAGTGTGTGTACACACACTCACAGTGTACTCACACTCACAGTGTACTCACACTCACAGTGTACTCACACTCACAGTGTACACACAGTGTACACACACTCACAGTGTACACACAGTGTACACACAGTGTACACGTACACACACAGTGTGTGTACGTGTACACACTCACAGTGTACACACTCACAACTGTACACACTCACAACTGTACACACTCACAACTGTACACACTCACAGTGTACACACTCACAGTGTACACACTCACAACTGTACACACTCACAACTGTACACACTCACAACTGTACACACCATTGTGGGTTTGTACACAAAGTGTACACACTCACAGTGTGTACGTACACACTGTGAGTGTGTACGTACACACACAGTGTGTACGTACACACACACACAGTGTACACACACACTCACAGTGCACACACTCACACTCACAGTACACGCTCACAGTACACGCGCAGTACACGACTCGTGCGTGCACGGCCTCACGCGCGCACAGCACAAAGGCAATCGGACGGCTCACTGTGGGGGTTCGCGTGTTGGGATACTTCGCGTCTGTGGCGTTGTGGGGGGGGGCCGGCCCCCCCGGGGGTGGGACAGGTCAAGGTGGTCGCGGGGGGGGGGCCCCGGGGGTGGGACAGGTCAAGGTGGTCGCGGGGGGGGGGGGGGGGCCGGCCCCCCGGGGGTGGGACAGGTCAAGGTGGTCGCGGGATTCGCGGCTTCCTGCAATCAGCCGCGCTTGAATTAACTCCCGAATCCCAACTTCGCTCCGGCAACACGCGCGTGGTGGTGGGGGGAGAGGGGGATGGTGCCCAACTCGCACACAAACTCACTAACACTTTAATCGACGTACGATGTTCGCGGGTGAGCGTAAGGATCGATCAAAAAAATTGGTAATTCGTCGAATTAATCAATGAATGTAATGGCTCGAATTTGGACCGTGGATTTGTTTTTGTTTTTACTGAAAGGGAATTGAGCGTGAAGGTGATGATGTACAAAACGTGACTGGAGGAAAGAAACACACACACACGTGTACAAAGGAACGAGAGACAACAATACAACGAAACTATACCCCACAGAACAATACAAACGAAAGAGTTAAGACGAAGCGGTGCATTTAAATGTCTCGGTGGCGGGATGTTCACTACCTCGCCTGGTATGCAGGAGTCCGTGGGTTCGATCCCAAACCTTGACGCCTGCGGTATATTTGGAGTTTGCGGTGTCTCTCTCTCTCCCCGTGGTCGCGTGGATTTTTCTCCGGGGTCCTCCGGGTTTTCTCTCCACATTTTAGAATCAACCTCACGCGTTTAGAATATTTGGCTGCTGCTATAAATTTTCACCTGCGATAAGCCACTTCGTTGAGCAATCCTTTGTGGCCAGGTCGCTTCTGAAAAAGAGCTACATACCTCAGGTGGGCCTTACCTTGTATACACGATAATTGCGAATAGTCGCTTAATAAAACGGAACTAAATCGATTCGTGAATCAAAATCGGAAGCGCATAGACGTGAAACGAGTTTCGACCAATTATATTTAAACAATACAAAATTAGCGCGGTGGAAACGAGAGAGATACAGAATGTGGTCCACTTTGAATCTAACCGCGACACCAACACGAAGCGACGGCCCACGGAATCCGTGGGAAGTCGGCTTGGGTCAAGCACGAACGTTCGTTGAACTTCTTTTGCGCCGTACGTTCTGGGGAGTACAACAAAACTGAACACAAAAAAGCGTTTCCACTCACCGTCCGTGGAATCGTCACTTGCCGAGTGGATAATGGTTGTGTTCACGGGGTGGGTGGGGGGGGAGTTATTAATTGGCCTCCTCAATGTAGCTGGCGTCGACTGATCGTGATGTGGACCGGTTAGGTCAGCCGAAGAGGAGACTCAATGATTTTGGTCAAATCCTAAGCAATTGCAGCCAGCCAGCCAATTCACTATCGGCCAGCCACGATTATCAATCAGCCAACTGATGAACAATCAGCCACTTAACACTAAGCCAGCCACCATGATCAATCAGCCAGCCACGATGAACAATCAGCCAGTCACGATTAACAATCAGCCAACCGATGAACAATCAGCCCCTCACAATAAACAATCGGCCAGCCGAATTCAGTACCGCATCCTCTCACACTGAATATCGATGCAAGGTCACATGTTACCACTGTATTTATATAACGTGATGTATGTGTAATATTGAGCTACGAGAGCTGTAAGTCTGTGTTATTTATGTCGATGTTACTATGTTGATGTTGTCGTGTCGCACTAAGCTATCGCGTTATTCAGGTCGCGTTATATTTTAACTTAAACGACGAACTACGCCCTGATTGGTCACCCCCGCCCTTCCCCCCACGGGTACGAGACAGCCAATCGCATGCTAGCGTGCTCAAGCACGTGGTTGTTCTGTGGCCAATGGTTGGTACTGTCGTTGTTTTGCGACACGTGGTGTGCGGGAAGGGAGGGGGCGGTGTCGTTTGTTCGAAGCCTGATTGGTCGGCAGTGCCGGCACGCGGTGGCAAATCGGCGCCCCGTGATTGGCCGGGCAGTGGGGCACTTGTTTACGGTGAATCGATGTTTCTCCCGGTTACGTGGGATCGTGTTAATAAAGGTACCGGTGCAACCGAACACATGGCTTTCGAAAAGAGTGTCTTTATTTATATGAAAATAAATATTAATGATCTATAGGACCCTTTGTGCTAGTATCAAAATCATAAAAAGCAAGAATAGGTTTTAAGATGTTCAAACACCAAACAGATACCTATTGCAAAGCATCGAGTCTGCATTAACCACACATTACTTGTGGCAAAACATGCAAACAAACATGCTCTGATTATAATATACTTGCATTGCCTTTGAAACTGATTGGCCTGCACCTGAGACGGCCTTCTCTATGGCCTTGTCTCACCACCAGTGATAGACCAGAGAACGCCAAAAGGTGAGCAGTCCAAGGACAATGCAACTATGAAAGTGGTTGAGAGCAGTTATACATCTGCTGGATAGCTTTTGCCAGTAATGAAACTGGTGAAAACCTAAGAATAGGTTTCACCCTTTCTGCCAATAATACAGTTGTGTTAAGATGTTCAGACATCCAAATGGATACCTATTGCAAGACAGAAAGTCTGCATTGACGAAGATATAACTGCTCAACCCGAGCTGTTGATGCTTTTATATGTGCGTTTGCCTTTGTTGCTGTTCGCCTTTTGGCGTCGTTCTCTGGCCGCACGCCTGTCGTGAGAGATTGGCCATAGAGGCGATGATGCTAATGATGATGGTTGCAGTGATGGCAATGGCGGAGCCAGGATTTTCAGGTAGAGTGGGGGGGGGGCAACTCCTCCAGCAATGAGAAATGATAGAGGAGTAAAATTTTGATTTAAAGCTTTCGTGACAGCAGTGATTCATATTATTGGTTCTTTCGGTAAAGTCACGTTGAAGGGAAACAATAAAATTATAAAATATATATAAAACAATTAAAATTCTCACGACGTTTCGACTGCAACAGATTTACCATGGAAGTCGAAAAAGATGGCAAGCCACCTTTTTTGGATGTCCTAATTAAAAAGAGACCTGATGGTTCAATGAGCCACTCTGTCTACAGGAAAGCTACCCATACGGATGCTTATCTTAAACCAGATTCCCACCACCATCCATCACAGAAGAATTCTCTCATCAAGACTCTGCACCATAGAGCCCAATGCATATCCGACCAGGAACACATAGGCAGTGAACTCAAGCACGTACACCAAGCTCTTAAGGCTAATGGTTACTCCGACTATACAATCCGCAAAGCTATCACTCAAACCATGAAGAAGGACCCTCTTGAGGAGCCTTTCAAAACCATTACTTTACTCTACATTGCGGGGATCACAAGAAAGATCTCCAAAATCTTGAATAAACACAAGATCTAGGTCCGTTTCAACACATTACATAAAATCCGTGATCTGCTTCCGTCTGTAAAAGGCTGTGATTCCGGACATACAATACCCTGTTGTCTACAAACTAAGCTGCCTCTGTGGTAGTAGTTACATTGGAGAAACCAAACGACATGTCTCGGACCGCATTCGTGAACACAAAGCAGACCTTAAACACGGTAGGACCAACACCTCGGCCGTGGCAGATCACTGTTATTATTCAGTAGGCTCACATGACATTGACTTCTCCAAGACAGAGGTTTTTTGCAAGCCATCTGGCTACCATGAGAGATTCGTTCATGAGGCTATCCACATATACAAACACAGAGACAATTTCAACCGAGAAGATGGATTCTGGCTTAGCAATCATTGGAAGGATTTGATAAACCATTTCGGGTCTTAATTGATTGTTCACGCTTACGGTGGCTTTCAGACAACATACATTAATTTTTCGTCTCCCCCCTCCTCTTTTCCGAACATAGATGGACTCTTGATTTAAAGCTTTCGTGACTGCAGTGATTCATATTCTTGGTTCTTTCGGTAAAGTCACGTTGAAGGGAAATAATAAACTTATCATATATATTTTATTGTTTCCCTTCAGCGTGACTTTACCGAAAGAACCAAGAATATGAATCACTGCAGTCACGAAAGCTTTAAATAAAAATTTCAACCGCCACTTCTTTCAAATGTTCTTGGCGTTGGTTTTCACACCTGATGATGACTGCTTGTGTTGCAGTCGAAACGTCGTGAGAATTGTATTGTTTTATATATATTTTATTATTTTATTGTTTCCCTTCAACGTGACTTTACCGAAAGAACCAAGAATATGATAGAGGAGTTGTTAGTAAGTAAGGAGTTGTTAGTAAGTATGGACTTGCCCCTTGCTTTTTATTCGACACGTGTGCGGCGATGGCGCAGCCATCGATCGAGGGTCGAATTCCAACCGCGTTGTGTGATTGGCATCGCGCTCGCTGAAGGTGAATGCAATCAGGGAAGTTGTGTACTCTGTATACGCAACTGCGCACAATTCTGTGAGTCGCTTATAACCGCTTTGCCTTTACTTATTGCCAGTTATGGACTCAGACCATTGTCCTAGCATCTCATAGAGTCCCTGGCACGTAATCATATGGTACACGGTGGCAGTGGGCGTCGCAAAATGCCGATTTATTACTAATACACTCCAATGATCCGATCGAAATTAGGGATTCCGATCGGATCTCGATCGGATCATTTGCGGTGGCAATGACTATCATGATGGCGGTGATGATGGTGGTTGTGGTTATGGTTGACGTTATTTATGACGGATGACTGTATAAAGATGGTTGTTATGATGAGTATTATAATAATGACTGATGATAATGGTTATGATTATGGCTGATAGAGATGATGCTGGCTATAATGGTGGCTATGACGATGATGTTGACGAAGATGGCTATGATGAAGGTTGAGGACAATGATGTTAATGGGGGTTCATGACTCAAGGGGGACGCGTGGTAAATGAGCGGCACCGCGCGGGTTAATTGAACCCCTCGACCGACATTAGCAGCGCGGTGGGGGGGAGGGAATGAGCGGCGTCAGCTCGGCCTGCGACCCCCCCCCCCCAAGACTCCTCTCTCTCCCTCCCGAGCTACCTCCCCTCTCCCTCCCCACGCTCCCCTCCCTCCCCACGCTCCTCTCCCTCCCCACGCTCCCCTCCCTCCCCTCCCTCCCCACGCTCCCCTCCCTCCCCACGCTCCCCTCCCTCCCCACGCTCCTCTCCCCACGCTCCTCTCTCTCCCCACGCTCCCCTCCCTCCCCTCCCTCCCCACGCTCCTCTCCCTCCCCACGCTCCCCTCCCTCCCCACGCTCCTCTCCCCACGCTCCTCTCTCTCCCCACACTCCTCTCCCTCCCCACGCTCCCCACGCTCCCCTCCCTCCCCTCCCTCCCCACGCTCCTCTCCCTCCCCACGCTCCCCTCCCTCCCCACGCTCCCCACGCTCCTCTCCCTCCCCACGCTCCCCTCCCTCCCCACGCTCCTCTCCCTCCCCACGCTCCCCTCCCTCCCCACGCTCCCCTCCCTCCCCACGCTCCCCTCCCTCCCCACGCTCCTCTCCCGCAGGTGGGAGCGGTGGCGCAGTGGTTAGCGCACTGCGCCACATGTTCCCCGTCCACGGCTCACAACATCAGTGGGGCTGTGCCGTCTCATCGGGCCGGCCCCGCGCAGACACAACACGTGGGGAGGAGGCCTTCATCCAACAGTGGATTGGCAAAGGACTTGATTGACAGGTGTGTCTACTTGTTATTCATGAGGATGCGAGGTGATGAGTGTGGGGGGGAAGGGAGAGTTGCTCCGCCCCCTCCGCCGTTGCTAAAGCGGTTGCCTCTTCATCCTCGAGTGGTTGATGTCTCCATGGCAACGGGCAGGTGAGGGTGCGTGGTTCAGGAACGGCGGCGGTGGGCCAGGTGACGCGCGCAGTCACGGGCAGTCACGTGGGTCGTCACACACGCGCGCGCACAAAGACAAAGATCCCCCGTGTAGCCTTGGCAGACTGTTGGGGCAAGTGCTGTTCGCGAGCGGCACCTGTGAAGGCCGGCACGGCGCACGAGGGAGTGGGTGGCCAACACCACGCCGCACCAGGTGCTTATTTGAGGCTGAGTCGACCTAGGGGAGGCCCAGGACCGGTTCAGATAATCGTGGCACAAAGACGAAGATCCCCCGTTTAGCCTTAACAGACTGTATGGGCAAGTGCTATTAGCGAGCACCTATGAAGGCCGTGGGTAGTCACTGAGGCACACACGTGGGTAGTCACTGAGGCACACACGTGGGTAGTCACTGAGACACACACGTGGGTAGTCACTGAAACACACACGTGGGTAGTCACTGAGACACACACGTGGGTAGTCACTGAGGCACACACGTGCGTAGTCACTGAGACACACACGTGGGTAGTCACTGAGACACACACGTGGGTAGTCACTGAGACACACACGTGGGTAGTCACTGAGACACACACGTGGGTAGTCACTGAGACACACACGTGGGTAGTCACTGAGACACACACGTGGGTAGTCACTGAGACACACACGTGGGTAGTCACTGAGACACACACGTGGGTAGTCACTGAAACACACACGTGGGTAGTCACTGAGACACACACGTGAGTAGTCACTGAGGCACACACGTGCGTAGTCACTGAGACACACACGTGGGTAGTCACTGAGACACACACGTGGGTAGTCACTGAAACACACACGTGGGTAGTCACTGAGACACACACGTGGGTAGTCACTGAGACACACACGTGGGTAGTCAGTGAGACACACACGTGGGTAGTCACTGAGGCACACACGTGGGTAGTCACTGAGAAACACACGTGGGTAGTCACTGAGACACACACGTGGGTAGTCACTGAGACACACACGTGGGCAGTCACTGAGACACACACGTGGGTAGTCACTGAGACACACACGTGGGTAGTCACTGAGACACACACGTGGGTAGTCACTGAGACACACACGTGGGTAGTCACTGAGACACACACGTGGGTAGTCACTGAGACACACACGTGGGTAGTCACTGAGGCACACACGTGGGTAGTCACTGAGACACACACGTGGGTAGTCACTGAGACACACACGTGGGTAGTCACTGAGACACACACGTGGGTAGTCACTGAGACACACACGTGGGTAGTCACTGAGGCACACACGTGGGTAGTCACTGAGACACACACGTGGGTAGTCACTGAGACACACACGTGGGTAGTCACTGAGGCACACACGTGGGTAGTCACTGAGACACACACGTGGGTAGTCACTGAGACACACACGTGGGTAGTCACTGAGACACACACGTGGGTAGTCACTGAGGCACACACGTGGGTAGTCACTGAGACACACACGTGGATAGTCACTGAGACACACGTGGGTAGTCACTGAGACACACACGTGGGTAGTCACTGAGGCACACACGTGGGTAGTCACTGAGACACACACGTGGGTAGTCACTGAGACACACACGTGGGTAGTCACTGAGTCACACACGTGGGTAGTCACTGAGACACACACGTGGGTAGTCACTGAGACACACACGTGGGTAGTCACTGAGACACACACGTGGGTAGTCACTGAGACACACACGTGGGTAGTCACTGAGACACACACGTGGGTAGTCACTGAGACACACACGTGGGTAGTCACTGAGGCACACACGTGGGTAGTCACTGAGACACACACGTGGGTAGTCACTGAGGCACACACGTGGGTAGTCACTGAGACACACACGTGGGTAGTCACTGAGACACACACGTGGGTAGTCACTGAGACACACACGTGGGTAGTCACTGAAACAGCGTCTGTCTCGGTGTGTCCCGCTGTCTGTGCGAGCTTCACTACGAGCCGGGCACCCGAGTTCGATTCCCGCTGACTGCCAACATCAGTCCCGTGCCTCCTCTAGGTCGAGCCTCAAATGTGTACCTGGCGCGGTGTGCAAAACGTGGCCACTGGGGAGACGAAGGCGGCCGGGCGTGGTGCTCCCCACTCATCCTCCTCGTGCGCCGTGCCGGCCTTCACAGGTGATACTCGTGAACAGCACAGTCTGTTGAGGCTCTGTCCGTCTCTCTCCGTGTCTCTCTCCGTGTGCGTTCCTTCCCTCCCGTAACCCTCCCGTGTCTCTCCGTGACCCCCCCCGCCCCCGGACTCTTCCACGCCCGTTTTCCCCATCCCCGCCCTCGAGTCTGTGACCGATCAAACGTCTCGGTGTGCCGGAGTCGTCACGGGGAGAGAAAAAGCCACGGATTGGCGAGGTTCATACAGCCGGAGAAGACTCGACCCTGTCACCCATCAAGCCTCCTGCTCCTCCTGCACGCCCGCGTAGAGAAGACTCCACTCCGCGTGGTGAGTCACGGGTAGTCACACACACACTGGTAGTCACACACACACACTGGTAGTCACACACACACACACTGGTAGTCACACACACACGGTAGTCACACACACACACACTGGTAGTCACACACACACGGTAGTCACACACACACACACACGGTAGTCACGCACACACACTGGTAGTCACACACACACACTGGTAGTCACACACACACTGGTAGTCACACACACACACACTGATAGTCACACACACAGACACTGGTAGTCACACACACACACACACGGTAGTCACACACACACACACGGTAGTCACACACACACACACGGGTAGTCACTCACACACACACTGGTAGTCACACACACACACACTGGTAGTTACACACACACACACACTGGTAGTCACACACACGGTAGTCACTCACACACACGGGTAGTCACACACACACACTGGTAGTCACACACACACACACTGGTAGTCACACACACAGACACTGGTAGTCACACACACACACGGTAGTCACACACACACACACGGTAGTCACACACACACACGGTAGTCACTCACACACACGGGTAGTCACACACACACACTGGTAGTCACACACACACACACGGGTAGTCACTCACACACACACACTGGTAGTCACACACACACACAGGTAGTCACACACACACACGGTAGTCACTCACACACACGGTAGTCACTCACACACACGGGTAGTCACACACACACACTGGTAGTCACACACACACTGGTAGTCACACACACACACTGGTAGTCACACACACACACGGTAGTCACTCACACACTGGTAGTCACACACACACACTGGTAGTCACACACACACGGTAGTCACACACACACACACGGTAGTCACACACACACACTGGTAGTCACTCACACACACTGGTAGTCACACACACACACTGGTAGTCACTCACACACTGGTAGTCACACACACACACTGGTAGTCACACACACACTGGTAGTCACTCACACACACAGGGTAGTCACACACACACGGTAGTCACTCACACACACACGGTAGTCACTCATACACACGGCTAGTCACACACACACACACGGGTAGTCATACACACACACGGGTAGTCACTCACACACACACACGGTAGTCACTCACACACACGGTAGTCACTCACACACACACGGTAGTCACACACACACACACTGGTAGTCACACACACACTGGTAGTCACTCACACACACTGGTAGTCACACACACACACACTGGTAGTCACTCACACACACGGGTAGTCACTCACACACACACTGGTAGTCACACACACACACACGGTAGTCACTCACACACACACACGGTAGTCACTCACACACACGGTAGTCACTCACACACACACGGTAGTCACACACACACGGGTAGTCACACACACTGGTAGTCACACACACACACACGGTAGTCACTCACACACACACGGTAGTCACTCACACACACACTGGTAGTCACACACACACACGGTAGTCACTCACACACACACGGTAGTCACTCACACACACGGGTAGTCACACACACACACTGGTAGTCACACACACACACGGGTAGTCACACACACACACACGGTAGTCACTCACACACACACGGTAGTCACTCACACACACACTGGTAGTCACACACACACACGGTAGTCACTCACACACACACGGTAGTCACTCACACACACGGGTAGTCACACACACACACTGGTAGTCACTTACACACGGGTACTCACACACACACTGATAGTCACACACACACACACTGGTAGTCACACACACACTGGTAGTCACACACACACACTGGTAGTCACACACACACACACGGGTAGTCACACACACACACTGGTAGTCACTTACACACACACTGGTAGTCACACACACACTGGTAGTCACACACACACACACTTGTAGTCACACATACACACTGGTAGTCACACACACACACACTGGTAGTCACACATACACACTGGTAGTCACACACACACTGGTAGACACACACACACACTGGTAGTCACTTACACACTGGTAGACACACACACTGGTAGTCACACACACACTGGTAGTCACTCACGCACGGGTAGTCACACACACACACTGGTAGTCACACACACATACACTGGTAGTCACACACACACTGGTAGTCACACACACACACTGGTAGTCACACACACACACTGGTAGTTACACACACACTGGTAGTCACACACACTGGTAGTCACACACTGGTAGTCACACACACACACTGGTAGTCACACACACACACGGGTAGTCACACACACACACTGGTAGTCACACACACACACGGGTAGTCACACACACACACTGGTAGTCACACACACACACGGGTAGTCACACACACACACTGGTAGTCACACACACAGACACTGGTAGTCACACACACACACTGGTAGTCACACACACACACGGGTAGTCACTTACACACACACGAGTAGTCACTCATACACACATGGGTAGTCACACACACACACGGGTAGTCACACACACACTGGGTAAAGTCACACACACACACTGGGTAAAGTCACACACACACACACGGGTAGTCACTCACACACACATTGGTAGTCACACACACACACGGGTAGTCACACACACACACTGGTAGTCACTTACACACACACATGGGTAGTCACACACACACACACTGGTAGTCACACACACACTGGTAGTCACTCACACACACACTGGTAGTCACACACACGGGTAGTCACTCATACACGGGTAGTCACACACACACACACACTAGTAGTCACACACACACACGAGTAGTCACACACACACACACTGGTAGTCACACACACACACGGGTAGTCACTCACACGGGTAGTCACTCACACACACTGGTAGTCACACACACACACGGTAGTCACTCACACACACACTGGTAGTCACACACACACACGGGTAGTCACTCACACACACACGAGTAGTCACACACACACGGGTAGTCACACACACATACACTGGTAGTCACTTACACACACACTGGTAGTCACACACACACTGGTAGTCACACACACACACATGGGTAGTCACACACACACTGGTAGTCACACACACACGGGTAGTCACTCACACACACATTGGTAGTCACACACACACACACACTGGTAGTAACACACACACTGGTAGTCACACACACTGGTAGTCACTCACACTGGTAGTCACTCACGCACGGGTAGTCACTTACACACACACGGGTAGTCACTCACACCGCTCACAGCAGGTGGCGTGCTCGCACAATGAATGTCAGGGCTTTGTACACACAAGTCTGTTGAACTTCTTTCGCACCGTACGTAGCCAACCGTGCTTTTGTCACTCCACTGCTGGATGAAGGTCTCCCCACACCGTGTCAACCATGGGAGTTGTTTGACCGTACTTGGCCTGCGCAGGGGGGGGGGCTTGTGGGTTGGAGAGTGGAACTCCCCGGTATCGTTTGGCGAGATATCACTCGCCACTGACGGCCGCCGTGGGTCGGGAATCGAACTCAGCTGCCGTGGGTTTGTTGCGCAGTGCACTACCCACTGCGCCACCGGCTCCCAGGCAGAAATGACCCTCCGACATTGGGTTAGATGGAGTAGAACAAGGCCGAAGCCATGGAGTCAACATTGGGGGGGACCAAATCTTGCAGGGGGTCTGGGGGTCTAAATTTGAAAACGAATTTCCTGCCTAAAATATTTTAAAAAATTCACTAACACATGGGATGGACTTTTTACGTATTTTTTTACAATAATGTCTAATAGTGTATTATTGTTTTACATTGCTTTGTTTTTTTTACCTTATCTTGTTTCATTGTGTGTAATGGCAGAGATTAGGGATTAATAAAATAACCACAATCATATGAACATGAATCTATTTTATAGCAATATATTGGGGGGGGACATTTTGAGCATATTTTAATATGGGGGGGGGGGATGTGTCCCCCCCAATATACGGCCTTGTAGTGAACATAAAATGCGTCGTCAAATCCGCCACCACCCGACACAGCCCAATGAAGTAAGCTTTGTCGCGTAAATAAAACTTGACCATTAGTTACGAGTTCAGCACACCGGGTTTGTGCGTTTGAGACTAAACCCACAGCATTTACAATTCGCGTACTGTGACGTTTCGCCGGTGCTTACAACAACAACCACCAGCATCATCATCAGGCGAGAGCCAGAATCGTGGAGAAGAGCTGGTCGCGAAGGCCGACGCGCTAAAAGGGAATCGAACTGCGAACTTTGTGCAAATCGGCCAACCTGCTGTCCCCCCTTGCGTGTATAGCCAGTCACCCGATTGATGACATGTAAATGCTGTCAAAACAATGTACGACTCATTCATAAGCAGTTTATTTAGGGTTGGATCGCCGTGTAGTGTATAATGTAAGTCAACTCTTACCTCCAACCGCTCCAGGCACGCAGCGACAAGAGCCAATCAAATATAATTGTGCGCTTTAGACAAAACCCGACATTTGATGCACAACACGACGCTCTAAGAACGACAAATTACATAAATAAACGACGAAATATGACTACTGGTGTTGAACTCTCACGTACGACGCTAATGTACGCCTGGTGTGACGTTCAGAGATCACCTGCGCAGTGTGAGGAGAGAGAGAGAGAGGAAGGGCGCAACGCGAGAGAGCGCCTCGGTCGATCGACGGTTAACAGGCGCCGCCATCTTAGCGCCTTTGTGACGTCATGGAGCCGTCGTCTGAGCACGAGGTCGCCCTGCGGAGCACCGCGCACCGCGTCTACCTGGTCAGGCGCGAGCCAGCACAGAGCCTCCCCCCGCCAGGTGAGAGAGTAGAGCCCCCCCCCCCCCCACACACACACACGTGCCCCTCCACCACACACGTGCCACCCCTCCCCACACACGTGCCCCTCCACCACACACGTGCCACCCCTCCCCACACACGTGCCACTCCCCACACACGTGCCACTCCCCACACACGTGCCACCCCTCCACACACACGTGCCCCTCCACCACACACGTGCCACCCCTCCCCACACACGTGCCCCTCCACCACACACGTGCCATCACTCCCCACACACGTGCCACTCCCCACACACGTGCCACCCCTCCACACACACGTGCCACCCCTCCCCACACACGTGCCCCTCCACCACACGTGCCACCCCTCCCACACACGTGCCCCTCCACCACACACGTGCCACCCCTCTCTACACACGTGCCACTCCCCACACACGTGCCACCCCTCCCCACACACGTGCCCCTCTACCACACACATGCCACTCCACCACACACGTGCCACCCCTCTCTACACACGTGCCACTCCCCACACACGTGCCACCCCTCCCCACACACGTGCCCCTCCACCACACACGTGCCACTCCCCACACACGTGCCACTCCCCACACACGTGCTACTCCCCACACACGTGCCACTCCCCACACACGTGCCACTCCCCACACACGTGCCACCCCTCCCCACACACGTGCCCCTCCACCACACACGTGCCACCCCTCCCCACACACGTGCCACCCCTCCCCACACACGTGCCACCCCTCCCCACACACGTGCCACTCTCCACACACGTGCCACTCCCCACACACGTGCCACTCCCCACACACGTGCCACCCCTCCACACACACGTGCCACCCCTCCCCACACACGTGCCCCTCCACCACACGTGCCACCACTCCCCACACACGTGCCACTCCCCACACACGTGCCACCCCTCCCACACACGTGCCCCTCCACCACACACGTGCCACCCCTCTCTACACACGTGCCACTCCCCACACACATGCCACCCCTCCCCACACACGTGCCCCTCCACCACACACATGCCACTCCACCACACACGTGCCACCCCTCTCTACACACGTGCCACTCCCCACACACGTGCCACCCCTCCCCACACACGTGCCCCTCCACCACACACATGCCACTCCCCACACACGTGCCACTCCCCACACACGTGCTACTCCCCACACACGTGCCACTCCCCACACACGTGCCACCCCTCCCCACACACGTGCTACCCCTCCCCACACACGTGCCCCTCCACCACACACGTGCCACCCCTCCCCACACACGTGCCACCCCTCCCCACACACGTGCCACCCCTCCCCACACACGTGCCACTCTCCACACACGTGCCACTCCCCACACACGTGCCACCCCTCCCCACACACGTACCACCCCTCCCCACACACGTGCCCCTCCACCACACGTGCCACCACTCCCCACACACGTGCCACTCCCCACACACGTGCCACCCCTCCCCACACACGTGCCCCTCCACCACACACGTGCCACCCCTCTCTACACCCGTGCCACTCCCCACACACGTGCCACCCTTCCCCACACACGTGCCCCTCCACCACACACGTGCCACTCCCCACACGTGCTACTCCCCACACACGTGCCACCCCTCCCCACACACGTGCCACCCCTCCCCACACACGTGCCACCCCTCCCCACACACGTGCCACCCCTCCCCACACACGTGCCACTCCCCACACACACGTGCCACCCCTCCCCACACACGTACCACCCCTCCCCACACACATGCCCCTCCACCACACGTGCCACCACTCCCCACACACGTGCCACTCCCCACACACGTGCCACCCCTCCCCACACACGTGCCCCTCCACCACACACGTGCCACCCCTCTCTACACCCGTGCCACTCCCCACACACGTGCCACCCTTCCCCACACACGTGCCCCTCCACCACACACGTGCCACTCCCCACACGTGCTACTCCCCACACACGTGCCACCCCTCCCCACACACGTGCCACCCCTCCCCACACACGTGCCACCCCTCCCCACACACGTGCCACCCCTCCCCACACACGTGCCACCCCTCCCCACACACGTGCCACCCCTCCCCACACACGTGCCACTCCCCACACACACGTGCCACCCCTCCCCACACACGTACCACCCCTCCCCACACACGTGCCACCCCTCCCTACCCACGTGCCCCTCCCCCACACACGTGCCCCCCCCCCCCCTCTCCCACACACACTTGCGTTCACATGATAATAAAGTAGGTGTGAAATTCAGTGGAGTGTATGATAAACGCGCGTGCGATTGTTGTTACAGTGTAAATGTGCGTGGATGTTGTACGGTCTACGTGCTAATATGGCGGTAAGTGGCGCGCGCGACCAGAGTGCGAGTTGGTGAATATCGATTCTCGAGGGATGGCCATACTTCCCCCGCAGGTCTCGTCACCACGTTCAGGATCTGGGGCTCGGCTGTGCCAACATCCACCACCACCACAACCACCACCACGCCGCCGCCGTCACCACACCGGGACCCGCGGCGCTCCCCGCGCGCCTACGACGCCGCGAGCCCACGACCCACGCCGACTCCCGCTCCGGGCGACTCCACGTTCCCGGCTCCGGGTCTTTGCGCCCGCGGCGGCGGCGGTGGCGGCGGCGGCGGCGGTGACCGCGACCTCCCGGAGCCGCTCCGTGCGTGCGGCGAGCCGGTGGTGTTCCGCACGTGGGTGCGGCACCACGGCACGGTGCGCACGCTGCGCCTGCCCCAGGGCCGCGTGCTCGCCAGCCGCTCCGACTCGGGCGCCTGGCGCTGGGCCTGGTTGCCCTGCTCGGGGTGGTGACGACGGGGGGGGGGGGGGGGGGGGGGGGGGTGAGGCAGGCGGGCGCCCCGGGCCCCGTGTTTTGGGGGCGGGGCGCGCTTAGGCATCGCTGTGTCAGATGTAATACTTCCGGTTTGGTGCGGATGTATACGTGGATGTAGAACTTATTTTGCACCGTGCGCAGCTAACCGTGCTAATCGGAGGTGATTGAAGGTGTTGCCACACCCCGCCACTGTGTAATTTGCCTCGGGGCCCCGCGACCCCCCGCTATGGACGGCCCTGCCGATATCGCAGAGTCGTGTTCTCCATCGCCCTCCAACAATACACGACGAGGGCCAACAACCCCCATCGTCATCATCGTCGTCGTCGTGCTGCTGTCAAACCCCCCAATGGTTTTAAATGTTGTGGCAGCTCACTCACGCTGAAGATCTCTTATCAGCAAAAGTGGCCCCCCTCTGAACACGAGTGAATACTGGTCCAGATGGTCCTGTGGTTGTAAAAGAAGCGGAAAGGGGGGGGGGGCGCTCCTTGCCGAGGGCCGAGCGTAACCCCCGGATTCAGGCCCGCTGCTGCTGCAGCTGCTGCTACTGCTGCGAGCGATCGGCTAGGCTGGAGGGCAAGCAATGACCACCCTTTGAGTAAGTAAAAAAAACATTTTATGTTAAATCCGACTTTCTTAATTAAATACGATGTCTCCAAAGAATTCACTTCCCCAATGCGTTTGTTGTTTGGGGCTCACTACCACTTCCTGGCATTGGATTCCCATGTGGGAGAGTCCTTCACCGTGCGATTGATCACAGCTCCGTGCTTCAACGACACGTCCACCTGGGCCATTTTTGTTGTTATTTTACGACCACCGCAGTCTCGTTTGCGACACGAGGTGGCGCTGCAGCATTGACGAATAGACCGCGTGACGGAATGCACACAAATTCGCATACACCCATTCATAATTGTTTTTTTTTCATTACGTCGTATAGATATTGTATATAAACTCGTGCATCTAAGTTCACGTGTGCCAAAGACTCAGAAACTCACAGGTTCAGAGACCCACAGACTCAGAAACCCACAGATTCAGAGACCCACAGACTCGGAGATGCCAAGACTCAGAAACCCACAATCAGAAATCCACAGACTCAGAAACCCGCAGACTAAGAAACCCACAAACTCAGAGACCCACAGACTCAGAAACCCACATATTCCGAGACCCACAGACTCAGAAACCCACAGACTCAGAAACCCACAGATTCAGAGACACACAGACTTAGAAACCCACAGATTCAGAAACCCACAGATTCAGAAACGACCCACAGGCTCGGAGCCCCAGATAGCCCAAGGGTCAGAGTAAAATCCCACCGTAATTCACGGTATTGGTCACACCGAGAGAGTGGAATCACTAAAGCGATGGCGGCGAAGATGCCACCACCCCAGGCGGTACCGACCGGCGAGTTCGCGTGTCCCCGTCTCGGAGTCGAACCCCTCGCCGAGAGCTCGGAGAGTGAACCGAGCGTCCCGCGTGCTGCCGTGACCGCTACTCCCCAGCGCAGGGGCGCTCCATTCGCCTGGGCTTCGGAATACCGCCGGCGCGTTCGGGCCTCGTTTAACACTCGCGTGGGGCCCCGTGAGTGCCAGGTGACACACCACGACGACGGCGACGATGGCAATGTATTGTTGAACCTCTTTTTTTACACTGTACGGAGCCAACCAACCGTGCTAATATTTGAGTCCAGTATCTTAAGGGGGAGGGACTGTTGTCGCCCCAGTAGCGATGCTTACACACCGCACCAGGTACTTATTTGAGGCTGAGTCGACCTAGCGGAGGCCCAGGACCGGTTCAGATCATCGTCACCGACGTTGGTGGCCGTGAGCGGGAATCGAACCCGGATCGCCCGGGGCGTGTCGGAGCCCAGCGATCTCACCGCTGCACTACCGCTCCACACACACACACGCTACTGCTACACGCATACGCATGCGCAACGCACAAAGTCCCACAAACGCTGACACAAAGGTGCACGGGAATGGATTTAACAACAGAAACAACTCAATCGGAATCTCGGATAATGAATCCGCTTAGTGCGTAGCCCCCCTTCAAATCGGCGCGCGAGCGAAGAGAAAGGGGGGGGGGGTGACCTTTAGGCAGGGATTAGCAGGAGTCCCATGGGGTGGATTTATCGTCTGAAATCCACCGTACGTCACGGGCAAAAATGTACGGCGCCGTGTACTCCCATTTATTTGTTTTGTTTACACGGCGCGCGTATCGCGTTTACACGGTACAAGTATCGCGTTTACACGTCACGTGTATCGCGTTTACACGGCGCACATATCACGTTTACACGGTACAAGTATCACGTTTACACGGTACATGTATCGTGTTTACACGGTACATGTATCGCGTTTACACGGTACATGTATCACCTTTACACGGTACATGTATCGTGTTTACACGGTACAAGTATCGCGTTTACACGGCGCGCGTATCGCGTTTACACGGCGCACGTATCGCGTTTACACGGTACAAGTATCGCGTTCACACGGTACATGTATCGTGTTTACACGGTACATGTATCGCGTTTACACGGTACATGTATCACGTTTACACGGTACATGTATCGTGTTTACACGGCACACGTATCACGTTTACACGGCACGCGTATCACGTTTACACGGTACAAGTATCGCGTTTACACGGTACAAGTATCACGTTTACACGGTACAAGTATCGCGTTTACACGGTACATGTATCGCGTTTACACGGTACACGTATCACGTTTACACGGTACAAGTATCGCGTTTACACAGCGCACGTATCGCGTTTACACGGTACAAGTATTGCATTTACACGGGGCGCGTATCGAGTTTACACGGTACAAGTATCGCGTTTACACGGTACAAGTATCGCGTTTACACGGCGCGCGTATCGAGTTTACACGGTACAAGTATCGCGTTTACACGGTACAAGTATCGCGTTTACACGGTACAAGTATCGAGTTTACACGGCACACGTATCGCGTTTACACGGTACAAGTATTGCGTTTACACGGTACACGTATCACGTTTACACGGTACAAGTATCACGTTTACACGACGCGCGTATCACGTTTACACGGTACAAGTATTGCGTTTACACGTCACACGTATCGAGTTTACACGGCACACGTATCACGTTTACACGGCACGCGTATCGAGTTTACACGGTACAAGTATCGCGTTTACACGGCACACGTATCGAGTTTACACGGCACACGTATCACGTTTACACGTCACACGTATCGCGTTCACACGGTACAAGTATCGCGTTCACACGGCACACGTATCGCGTTCACACGGCACACGTATCGCGTTCACACGGCACACGTATCGCGTTCACACAGTACAAGTATCGCGTTTACACGGTACAAGTATCACGTTCACACGGTACAAGTATCACGTTTACACGTCACACGTATCGCGTTCACACGGCACACGTACCATGGCGTCTCTTTTTACATAAAAGTCTGACGATGGCGGGTCTAAAATGATGGGAAATGGTGACATTCGTCGACGTATAAAATTTACATTTTGCTTTAAAATTAAACATCGCACAATCCCGTAGGGAAGGGGTACCTCGCACGAATAGTCAAACACCCTACGAACACAGATTAACACACTAACACACACTAACACAACCGCCATTCGCCACTAAGTGACGGTGACGTCACCACGACGCTTGTGCCAGGCCATGTGCACCTTGAGGCCACGTGAAGTGTCGAACGCCCGCTGGCAGGAGGTCACGGGGCAGACCAAAGTGCCACGGGTCGACTGACTGAGATGACTGGCTAATGCACCACCTGTGCCCCCTACTGTGGCAACCTGCTGTGCTTTAGCCACCCGGTGCTCCGCTCGTTGTTGTGAGCGTCGCTCCTCCGCCCTCCGTTGTTGTTGGAGGGCGACTGCCTCCAACTGCCCAGTAGCGTCCTTCATGAGCCTCCTCCACAGAGGCCAATCTTGACACCGCTGGTACCAGTCATCGGCAAGTCCATTCAGCTCCACGTCCTCCTGTACCACATCACTCCATCTCCTCTCTAGCCCGTACCGCGCCCGTTTAGCCCCCTCGATCCGGCCGAACAAAAGCTGTTTAGGCATGTGGTGGTTGGGCATGCGGGCTACGTGACCCAGCCAACGCAGCCTTGCCTGCCGGAGGAGCTCACTGATGGGACCTTGTACAGATCTTTCAAGGATTTGTGAGCTCCTCACACAATCCAGCCTGGTTAAAACCAGGATGGATCGTAGGCAGGCTAGCCTAAATGTTTCTAACCGGCGAAGATGATCCATTAGGGGGGTCCACGTTTCGCAAGCGTAGAGAAAGGAGGGAATGTGGCCGAGAAGACCTGGAGCTTAGTGCGGAGCGACAGACCAGGTAGCTTCCACACAGCATTACGCAACCGATTAAAATATATTGCCGCTCGACTTATTCGGAGTGAGACCTCTGCTGTTAAAATGGAGCCGGTCATAAGCACACTGCCCAGGTATGGAAAACTCTCCACAACTGCCCCATCACCGATTGGGAGTTGTGGAGGTGGAGTGTCCGATGGTACAAAATACCCAGGCAGGTGCTTAGTTTTGGTGGGGCTGATAGTAAGGCCCCACCTCTTAGTGGCACGCTCCAGTCTCAGCAGCAGTGTCTCCAACTCCTCCTCTGAATGAGCAGCTATTACCAAATCATCGGCATACATAACGTGGTTGACCAATAGGGAGCCATCCATTGACCGCACCCGGGCATCGATCAGCCTCCCATTATATCTGTACCAAATGGAAATTCCCCCAGTACAGCTATTGAAGGCTTCACGAACTACGTGGTCAAAATAGATGTTAAATAATGTGGGAGCCAGAGGACATCCCTGTCGCACCCCAAAGTGTACAGGGAATGGCTCTGACTCCCGGCCACGTAGTTTTACCCGCGCCCGCTCACCATCATGAAGGTCTTTAATGATCGTGAGCAGAGGGTCAGGGACTCCGAAAGCCCGAAGAAAAACCCAGAGCCCAGG